TTATTGACTTATGATTTGTAATTAGTGAATATAAGTGATTAAATGCCGTTGAAATCCAGGTTTTTTTTTTCTCCTAAATAGACAGTCCTATAAGACTCCCTATAACTGAATATAATTCATACATTTTCAATTATACATATTTTTTTGGTAAATTTTACGTAGAATTTCGAATGATTGAAAAGTATGAGATACGTATGAGTGACGTGATTGTACAAATTATATCATCCCCCTATTTAGAACAAATTCTCGACTACTCCACGGCAACTATTCCATTCTCAATAAAAATAATCGTTTTTTTTTTTTTTCGCTATTATTCATAATTTTTTAATCGTTAATATTTAGCATTTATCCATCTGAATTGATCAGAAACAAACTGATATAGTGACCATGACATCTTGACATGTATGGATGGATACAATAGGTAGTATTGGTAAACAAGTATCGTTAGGTAAAATCCACGGGAGAAGACACAGATGCAAAGATGAATTCATATTTTTAAAACGGACTTCAAAAGAAACGCGGAGCCCGGAGAGAGTTCAAATGTAGAGCGCGGGAAATAGTTAAAGTATCAAAGGACGTAAATATGAGTTATAACGAAACCTCGAGGAAAACAAAAATGCTGGCACGGCCGAGTTCAAAACGTATACAACATGGATGACCAAAATATATTATACATGTATATATAAAATTTAGTATAAAAATAAAACATGATTAAAATTTCCAATAAGAGACGCAAAAGACTACGACGATGTAGTGATGATGAATATTCGCGGTTCTTGGCAATAAAATATAAAATAATTGCAGCACTACATAATTATCTCTCGTTGATTTAACTCTTAAACGCTTAAACGGGATTATACGGGATTATTGTGTATAAAAATAAATAAGATTATTTTTAAACCTTCCCTCCTTACGTTCCTCTCGCCATTCGTATTTTATCTCGAACTCGACAATTTGTTTTCTTGTCGTTCGACCGTTTTTTTTTTTTTTTATTATTGTTATTATTATTATTATTCTCGCGTGACTTAATCGCGCATTTTCGACGAGCGCATAATTTAATATACGTATATATACTTACTGAAAAAGATATTCGCTTGCGTGGCATGATATCCCGAGCGGGTATAAGATTACCGCTTGTTTGCGGTATAAGATTACCATCATCATCATTTTCATCACTATGATGATCGTCTTAATGATAGTAAATAATTTATTTCGGTAGCCGTTTGTGACCGAAAAAAATAAAACATATAAAAACTTGAACAGCTCCATCACTATAGGGTCTAATACGTATACGTATCACCTTTGCAATATTTCATTATTTTTTTTTTTTTTGTTCGTATAGTTCATCTCAAACGTGTATGGTTATTCCAGAACTGAATTTAATTTTAATTTTTAGAGGTATTTTCAATGAAAACGGGAAATTTTAGCATAAAAATGATTTGAGAGAGAGTTGAAAGTGAAATCCCTAGGGCATAATATTGATACGTACACCATGCATAAACTAAATGTCATCCCTAGGGCTTTGTTTGGTAGATTTGTAAGTGTGTGCGAAGTTACAAAAAAAAAACGTCGTCCCCACCCAATAAACCGGTGAAATTCATATTGAAAATCAATCAAAATATCAACAATTGCCTACAAAAAAAAAAAAAAAACTCGAATTCTTGAGTTTGAGCTCATTTAATCCGGAAGGTTTAAAATTTCCGAATATAACAGAAAAAAGGTTGTACGAATATAAAATTTAAATTATCTAGATACCTAAAGATAAGAGATAATTGATAGAACGGTTTAATTAACCAGATAATGATAAATGATAAGGATACTTTATCATATTTATTATAAAAAATTTTTTTTCGTATTTATTATAAAAATGCTAAAAGTAGTAGGTGAAAGTGTATCGATTTGTTACACATTTATACATGATTTATTGAACTCAATAATTAATTCACTAAACTGGTACAACAATATAAATTACATTTTTATCTGTTTATTCAAATCAATATAAAATTGCAATTATAAAAGATTCATCTAGACAAATCCATCTAGATGATTTAGTATAATTTATCTTCGTTACCGGCTCAGATAACTTAGTTCTCAATTATCTGTAAGATGAAATAAAAAAATAAAAATATTACTATTTTGATTAAACACAACGCTGTAAATAACAAGCGCAACGCAATCAATACAAAAGTCTTTTGTTTCCGGGGGCGATGCCGATAGTAATAATTTAACGGGATCGAACGGGACAAAATAAATACTGACAATTCAACGATTCCGCGGTTTTCGGATTACGGCGATTATTTCGACATTCAAAATTCGTCGGCTTAAAGTTGTTCGTCTCATGCGACACAATAATACACAATTTTTGTATTTCTACTGCTGTATAATATATATTATAACATGTAACACTGTAAATATTGTATATTTTGCAAAAGCCCCAGCTACAGTGACAACACCGCGTACTGGATCGGAGCTACGGACATGAATAATGAAGGATTTTTCAAATGGACAGACTCGTCGCCGTTCACGTATTCCAGTAAGTTACACCGGCATTGCGGATGCCGTCAAAACCCCCCGCCGTTATTATAACACACATAAGACGCGTCTTTCTCTACAACAATAATAATGTACAACTTATATACGCACGCGGCTTAACGATAAAACGATAATATTATATCAATTATTCACACCCTGTATATAAACTGTACACACGCTTGTAAACACACACGTGTCCTGCAGATTGGTACCAGGGACACGTACACCAGCCGTACAGCAGTCCGAATTCGAAACAGCCCAATGATGACGGACTCAGTCGTCAGGACTGCGTGGAACTGCGACAAGTGTACCGACCCCAAAACCGGCTGCTCAAGTATTTTAACCGTAATTCGTCGTACACTTGGAACGATCGCGATTGTTCCGTGAAAAATCGATTTCTATGCCAAACGCAACAGCACACGTCCTCAAACGACTATGGTAAATATTAAAAAAAAATTAAAATATTGTTTGTGTTTAGATTTGCAACTCGGCAAACGTCGTCTCCATATCCGAAGAACATTTGCAATTGGTATCATATATCTATAGTATTATAATTTATATTATACGACTTTTGTGCAAAATCGAATATTCTAAATGATTAAAAAATCATTTTCTATACATTTTTAATTTCTAGAAAATTCCGTTAGAAATTAAAACTACATACACTATAGCCGAGATGCATTTCTTTCGATACGTTCGCATTCAATAATCAAACGATTTTGTCCCTTGCGTTTACCACACGACCTTTGCCGACTGTAATACTACGATGGACGGTTTAATGAGTTTTTTTTGTTCGTTTATTCGTTTATTTAGACCCAGACGAAACGAGTTGTAATATCACTATAAAATTGACCAGCGAGATGCGATTCGCTTCTGTCTCGAGCCCAGGATTTCCACAACCGTATCCCGACAATCAAGACTGCAATATCGGCTTGGAAGTACCTCGCGGTTATCAAATTGAAGTAGAATTCGAAGAATTAATGCTGGAAAACGAATCAACGTAAGTGCATAACAATGTTTCTAACGAAATACTTAATAAAAACATATAAATTTACCAGTTTTAAAGGCGACGGGTTTATTCCGTTTTGTGCAATATTGCTATTTTGAAACAATCAAATAATACATGAAAAACTCCGTTTGAACGTTGCAATAATAATAACAATTTTAATATTAGCGGTTCACGAACAAATAAAGTTGTATTATTAAGAATGCGTCTTGTCAATATTTAATTTCATTTACAATAAGATTTGTTATACCGTGACCCACATTGATGATTTACAGTTGCGGTTACGATTATGTGGAGTTAATTCCAGGGGACGACGACGAGGGTCCCAAATACTGCGGCGATAAAAGCGACGTGCTCAAACTAACGCGATTCGTCACCAAGAAACCCAAATTGAGGATACATTTCGTGTCCGACTATTCGCACTCGTTCAGCGGATTCAGGGCCCGGGTGTCCGCCGAACACGGTATTTTAAATAATCTAAAAAAAAAACCATTAAAAAACAGAACAACGTGCTGAGTGATAATATTATAATGTAATAATTTGTCTCATTTTTTACGCATAGTCAATAACGAATGCGACGACGCGCGACAACAAATGTTTAACGGGTCGTGTTATTTGTTCGCCAGTTATCCGGAAGTGTCTTGGCACACCGCTAGAAGTATCTGTAACGGAATAAAGGTCAGAATAATAATAATAACATTACGGCCATCGTTACTGTTTTCAAATCATTGTCGATTTAACATGCCTGAATGTCTGTTGTCCGTTGTTAGGCGGAACTGGCGAGCGTTCACAATGCCGAGGAAGAACAGTTTATCGAATCGTTTATTCGGGAATCGACGGATACCAGGTCGGCGATTTATTGGTTGGGCGGAACGTGGAACGAAAAATCTTGGTACTGGGTCGATAATTCGACAGCAAAATTTTCGGGTTTGTTATAAATACGACGAATATTTGCATTTTTAGTGTTGAATTTTTTATTTTGTAGTCAATTCTACGGTTGGTCTAGCAGCCGTACGCTCTACAATTTCCCTTGTTTCCAGGTAATCTCTTCAGTTCGGTGTCGCTTGATCGTTCGGCGTCGGAGAAATCATTTATCTTATAAATGATATTCTTGATCAACTTCGACCCCTCTTTTTCCTTCGATTTTCCCTTACACTATTCTACAAATCCATTTCATTCTTCTGCCTAAATATGTGCGCAATCATATTTCATCGTGCTCTAACTGTTTTGAGTATCCGTCCGTGTTAATTTATTTCACCGAGTCGATACGGCGTTCTGTCCAACTCACTCGCGGCATCCTTCTACAACACCACATATCAAAGCTTTTGTTGATTTTTTTCTCTGCCTTGCTACCCAAGTTCCGTGTCCGTATAGCACCACACTCCATATATTCTAATGCGTTTTGCACTATATTTGCACTTATACGGTGGGACAACAAAATCGATAAAAACAAACTGTATCTTTTCCAGCGTGGTTGTCAACTGACACCATAAATGCATTATCGTACAAGGATATGTGTCTGGCAATTAGCTGGCTAACATCGCCGCCCGTCAACCTGCCCCGGGGTCTCTACTGGACGGCCAACGTTTGCGGCACGGTCGGAGGGTACATATGCAAAAAAAAACAAATAAGCAAGTACAATATTATCATTATTTTTATATATTATATTATCTACACCGAAAACATGAAGCATATCCGTAATAAACTCATAAATAACTATGATCGTTTTAACCGGCTCATCGTTAAATGATCGACGTACCGTAGATTTTTCAGATTATTACAACCTGAACACGACCATGACCGGTAACGAGGGAACGATCACCTCGTTGAATTATCCGGCCAATTACTATCATAATCTGGACTATTGGATACACGTGGTCGGGCCTGACCGGGCACGCGTCGTATTCCAGTTCGACTCGATAAACATCGAGCCGCAAGCCGACTGCCTTTACGATTACGTCGCGGTGGTGGAAGTGAAAGGCCGCGAAAACCGTACGATGACGGTGTGCGGATACCGCGGCAACAACCTGGAAGAGTGAGTTTTCAACAATTTTTATTGTGACGTCACGTGTATATATTTTTGCGCTCTCGTTTTGTCTTTATGCACAGTTACGTATTCGTAACGGATTCGAACGAAGCGTACGTGCACTTCCATTCGGATTACTCGGTATCCAATTCGGGTTTTCACCTCAAATGGAACGTCGTCGACATGTCGGGATGTCCGTCGCAAACTCTGACCGCTTCCGAAGGTCGAGTCGTCAGCCCCAACTATCCAAACTTTATACTGCCGAATCTCAATTGCATTACCATGATATTGGCCCCAGGTGAGAAACGGTCGAAACCGCAGCGTTCCTCGACCAATGACCTCGACCAATAACGCTATGTTATTGATTTCCGTTATAGTCGGCCATCGTATATGGATCGAGTTCGTCGATTACAACTTGGACGAATCGCAGACGGTCAAGTTGTATTTGTCGAGAACCTCGGACTACGTTATGCCGTTCAAATTCCAGAACTCGATCAACGACGGTGCTTTTTTGTCGGAAGGCGAGCGGGTTACGATTGAATACTCCACGAACCGTACGCCCAGAGGGAGAGGTTTCAAAATCGCCTACAAAACGGGTACGGCGGGGTGATCGAGATTCTAATGCGGTATTATTATATAGTCATACAAATTATGAAAAATTGTAATACATTTCGCAGTGATGGATTTTGAGGAAGAACGTGCGATCATATTACAAAACGATACATCCGGTTTTATGTATAGACTGAACTACCCGTCGTCCATGCATTTCCCAGAATTGCAGTACAAACAAAGACTTATAGCCGCGATCGGAAACAACATCCAATTGCAGTTCAATAACGTGGTGCCGGCGCAAAGTAGGCGATTATTTCTTAAAATTGATTTGCTCGTTTTCAACTTAGGCATACCAGTGGCGTAGTTATAGGAGGGGGGAGTTATAGAGATAGATCTCTTCTACAGTCAGTTTTTTAATTTTACGCACCTTTGTGTATATATATTTTTAATTAAAAATCGATTCTGAGCGGAGCAGTATTGTTTATGTGTTTTTTCATTTATAATCAAGTTGGCCCAGAAATCAACAAAAGCAAAACCTATGTATCAACATTTGTTGCCAGTTTTTTAATTTTATAATAAAACTATTGGGAACCCATAGATATTTTTTCCGAATAAAATACCATTAGGCTATTTAGGCAAACAATTCCGCAACGATTAATCGTTTAAATTACGATGTCAATAATTTTACTTTTAGGTATACTATTTTTTACTATACGAAGAAACATTTTCCGATAAAATAAACTCCCAAATATATCTAAGGAGAAAACTGTTGGCAATTTAAAAATTTTTCAAATAAAAAAAACAAATACAAAAGTGCAATTTTTCGGTAAAAGTATTTCGAAGACTTCGAAAACAGTTTCATTTCAAATACCATTATGCGAAAAATCTGTATCTTCTTTGAGATACAATTCACGTTACACTTTAGTATAGCATGAAATCATTTTTACTAACCTAAAAAGTGTTTTTCATAAAAAAAAAAATACATAATATCTTAGTAAAACTAATAGCTTCTTCGCCAATCTTAGAGCCTTATGCATAGATCTGTATGAAGGTTGTGGGGGATTCCACACGAAGTTTATCCAACTAATTACCGTCATCCACCCCCGCCCCGAACAATATCATAACCGCGCCACTGATTCGCGCACTAGGCTATAGATCATTAACCGCCGTATATAACTGGGTGTATGCGTACAGTGGACACGAATTTGGGCCGTACCGTTTGTCCGGGGCAACAGTCGACCACCGCGATCGAGATTCACGACCATTATGCCGCTCAGAACGGCACGTGGTGGTTGTTGTGCGAAAACGTCGACCGGCTCAAGTCCGTGCCGATTTCGATCACTTCGTTCCTCAACACCATGTCCGTGGTCGTGATATACGGCCAGAAACCGCCGGCGGACGTGACGTCCGTGAACATCTCGGTAAACGTGAGACCAGGTCAGTACACACAATGTTAACTGTCGTTACGTGACTTTTTAAAATAACGCGTAACGCAATGGCCTGTCCAACTCAAGGGCACGGACGTTTTCGCGCATGTGTTCCCTACTCCCGGTTGTCGGTACCCGTTTCATCCGCTCTCCCACCTATCAATCTCGCCACCGCCGAAACGCGTCGCGTACCGTATACGCGGAGAACGAAATGTCGATAGCATTTTGGTTTGACGGCCTTTGCCGCGTGCACGTGTATTCTCGCGCGAATGCTCCGCGTTAATTCGAACGAACCGCGCGATTCGAATCTTTTGAGTAACGTAATTGTTCGATGTCGCCCGTTGACTCGGGCCGAAACAGCGTAGGCATGCGCGTACATTACGATGTTTTTGGCGATTTTCGACGTTTCGGTGTTTTGGACATTGCAACCCGCCGTACACACGCGACGGCGGCGCGGCGCGGCGTACAGAATCGCGCGGCCACGGCGTGCGATCGGTAACGATTGTTTCCGATCCGTCGAGTAGGGGAGGGGGGGGGGGGGGGGTCCGGCAACGGTCGGCGGTCAGTCACGTGTGCGCGAACGGGTATGCTCTTGAGTCGGACGCGGTGTAATTGGCTTTGCAGCGCCATGACAAATGCTGATAAAGTGATAAAACGCATTTATGTGTTCATTGGTTAAACCGTTTCAAGACTCTGAAACGGTTTTAACGTATCAAACTGCGTGATGCGAGCGTTTTTAATTACCGAAACGGTCTGGCGCTCACGAACGGTTTGCAAATGTAAACATGATAGGAATACATTTTAGTTTCAAAACGATTTTATTTCGAACCGTTTCAATGCTATCTGCGATACGATTGTTGTATTATTGTTGTACGCTCACTACGCTCATAATACTACGATAATACATTGTTTACATTATACGTGTTTAATAATTCGTATCGCCGCCTTTCACGTCCATCGCCACGACCCATCGCTATACTATTACTTGATTTACTCAATCACTCCATCACATCCGTGTCCTTTTTTTTTGATTGAATTGAAAATTGAAGGATTAAACTTCAATTTTGGATGTCGTTTTATAAATAGATTTTCATTCAGAAATATTATTACCAATAGATACGGAGTCAAAAAAAAAACTCGTCGCTTTGGCCAAAGACCCCGGGACCAACGGGACCGTGATCGAGTCTTGCCATCCCGATCCGTGCGTGAACGGCGGCACGTGCGTACACCGAAAAGTCACGCAAACGTACGATTGCAAATGTCGCGGCAACTACACAGGTGAGTCGTGCACCTATAACGTACGCCCTGTTATAAATGGCATTGTGAATAAAACAAATGCGTAGTCGAAATTATGTAATTTATTTTGATCGTTTTCGGGAGTTGTTATAGACGTGACCGATCATACGGATGGTGATTGTATAAATGACGAGCGGTTTGAACGGTTGTCACGCTATATCATATCGAAAATATGACAACATTCTGAAATCGATGAAAAGCCAATGTGTTTTTAAATCTTTTGCTGCGGTTTTGTGTGCCCCGAACTGGCCGAACTATATACGCGCAATTACCTATATGGCGTACATAGACCTTTGAATAATGAGCGCAGCAATAATTACGATTTGGACTGAATGTCGTACGTTGTACGGAAATTATGCTAATATTTTGCAAATTAACTGCGAATTTTAGAATTTGAAAATTAATCGTTTTTTATTTTATTTTTTTGGTAAGCTTTTGAAAAATTTCACCAGCCACTCGACTTTTTGAATATCATTTCTATTTATTTTATTATGATATGTATCTATCAACCTAAATAGGATTTATATGATTTTAACTTTCTAGAAATAAACCTTATACGTTTTATTTAAATCGTTTGATTTGATTTTTTTTTATTTTAACTACTCATCTTCACTTTCTTCTTACTCTGCTCGTTAGTCCGTTGAAGACCATTGAAGTCCTATTTATAATCAAATATTACAGAAAATAATTGTCCACTTTAATTATTACGTTATTACTAAATCTGAACGACTCATTTGCAAATTTTTAAAATCGATTTGTAATTATTTGCGATTAATTTATAAAATATTGGCAAACTTTTCGTAATCGATTGGACACACTTGGGGGGGGGGAGGAATTGTTAAAAGCTCGCAAAAAAAAAAAAAAAAATATATTGATTCGCAATATCTAAAAATCGATTCGCTATTAATTTGCAAAATATTTAAACACTTTTCGAACAAAACACGTTTCATAATATACTTTTTGATCGGATAAAGTTGGAGGGGCCAACTTTACTAACAAAGGACGAGAATGATTTTACTGCACTTACGGCGGTGAACAATACAATGTCTTTTCAAGTATTCGTCATTTCCGCCCTGTATGTTGAAATATACAGACCCGGAAAAATATTATCCCAAAAGACAGAGGCGTACGAATATGTAACGCGTATTCGTATGTGAAGTATTTTCGCGAAATCGCGTGAAAATGTTGGAAAAATTATTATAATTAGTTGAGCGTTTGAAACGACCAAACGATCACCGCAGCTCTCATGGTTCCCGTTACGACTTAAAACAGTGTACACACGTACATATGTATTTATATATATATAGTGTACGCATATACGTGTAGCGATTCAATTATTTGTGTTCGCCAACAAACATTATTTATTTTTGAACTTTTCCCAGCGTATTGATATAAATTATACTTGGTTTAAGCTCCGTTTGCATTTATCGAACTTTATTATAATATCCACGCACAACAATACACGCACCCGGACCCGGATGTTTGGGTGTACGATACATTCCGAATAGGTACCCGCAGCAACAATGAATCGATACTATATCACTGTATGCGCAAGACGTGTAAAAAAAAAAAAAAAAAAAATTAAAAAAAAAAAAATATTGAAATACCGTACCGGAGTAATTAAAAAGGTATTTCGAGGTATTTTCGGACATCAGTCGAAAAGCCCGCCTATCCTACCTGTGCGTGTTTTTTTTAATTAAACCAATATGGATGCGGTACATTAATAATTATCGTAGAAATCTCATCGTCGCGGTATTAATTGTCGTAGAGCGTTAGTATACGAGTACAGGTGCATACCGATATTCATTATTTCGACCGGACCTTTTAAATAATCACGTTAATCATAATTTGTTTCGATCGCTGCAGACGTTTATGCGTACCAAAATCGTATTCTAACGGGATTTTTTTTTTTTTGTTCGACCCACCCAGATAATGATAATTTATTACGACCGCCCGACAAACAGTATACCTACTGCTGTGGTAAAATTGCGTCCGAAATTATTTGCATACGATATCGTAAATCGGACGTGTAGATAGTTTAATACAAGGTTAAGCGACAAGTTTCAAAATCGATTTTTTTTTCCGTTTGAATACAGTTATGAAAAAAAAAAAAAAAAACTATACGGTCATAATATCGAATATACCACATCCTCGTTAATGTATAATATGTGCGGTATAAGTTTGTCACGTTTTCGAGCTAGGTGGCCAATCTTCAAATAAATCGAAAAGATCGGCCGAGTAGGTCTGTTCGAGCTATGCTAGTTTTCGATATAGTGTATTTTCAGACAGTGATCGAATTTCGCAAACCGTAAACATTATTTTCGATGAGTTTTTCGATTGTCGAATCGCTTATCTCTAAACGGAGTTTTTGTTCCATGAAATAAAACGTTATATCAGCTATAATTTTATAGCACAAGTTATTACTATATTGAGTTATAATATAATCATAATAATAATAAATAATAGTTTGCATTCGTTGTTAGGACTATTAGAAGCATGACAATATTATTCACTTGTACAGTATCTGCTAACCGAAGGCTGACTAAGTGCTGCTCCTCTATGTCATCCAATATTTTGTTGATAACTATCATTTCCGAAAAATGTTAGAACGGCTAATACTTACAATAAATATGAATTACGAATTTGTAGACGCACTTACTGTAGTTTTTAAGGTAGGTTACATTTGTTTATTAGTAGTACAACTACTACAACTAGGTAATACATTTCGAAATGTACTGTTGTTCGAACGTATCCTAATCTCTCAAATTTGCTGTTATTTTAAATATCTAATTAATTAACCAAACCAAAAGTTACCTATTTAAATGCTCGATAATAACTATAACTACTCTTTTGATTATTATTCCCGAAGATGTTGTTGATAAAAGGAGTAAAAGTATCTACAAATTATTCTACTAATGTACTGTCTACTTGCACGATATGTAGATACCTATACATTTCCGGTCCGTTGTTAATACTGATAAAAATAATATTCAAGATTATTCTAGATTTTAATTATGTAATAAACGACAAAAAAATATATATATTAATAACGAGAATTTTTACAAATCGAAATTAATTCATAATTGCATTAGGTAGGTGTAGATTAGGTTACGAGTTACGTACCTTTGTCAACTCACCATCAAATGGATCTTTTCGTACGTCAAGGTTTATTTACATTTATTAGTTGATTCATTGCCATACCATTTTGAATAATATTCAATCCTATTACAATATCACCGTCATCGGTCATATTATCCATAGTATAAACATATAAATTTACGCTAATAATAAAAAAAAAAAAAAAATAACGAGTCGAGTGTTGAAATTTACGGGCGCTCGGTTATACAGGGACAAAAACAACGAACTAACGGGCGATACACCGATGGTTTTGTTAAATAAGCATATACCATTAAAAATCGAAAATTACGTTTTTTGTATCAAAAAAAAAAAAAAAAACAGTAAAAATTTGGAGTATAAACTGGTGAAAGGGCGTATTAAATTACAGAAAATTAAGTTGGTAATGTCGAATAAAAAATATCCAGGAGCCTTTTCAAATATAATTAAATCAACGTTGATTTTTTAAAAGGGCGTAAACCACATTCAATGCATGTATACTTTATGTGCAAAGCATTATGCAGTGTACGAGTAATTTTATTGTTTTCCATGATAAACATCGTTAAAAACTGTTTTGCTGTTTCTTTGCAATACAGTTTTTTTGCTTCCTAAAAAAAAGTGTTTTAGTGGTATACGCCCTTTTACAAAACACCGTCAATATATTATACAAAATATAACCTTTACGGACTTAACGAGTGTGATAAGATAATAAAACAACAGAAAACCTGTAATTGAATAATAATACAATTTTCCTATTTCGATCGATTAATCTATCGAATATCATTTGAGAATATGATTTCGGATGGAAATCGAAAACGTATTTCTTCTCGATCGATTTTCGCCAATTTCGATATGTTTGATAATACATTCCCGAGTCACAAAATCGATGAACACCGTCGGTCTATTTTATTTAGTCACCAAGACCGGAGGGATTGCATATTATAGTTTGCTCTGCTGGGGTTGAGACGTGCTTAGGGTGTTTAGGGATACGTATACTGTGAATACACATGACTAAATAAACAGAAGCGCTACGCGAAAAGTGATCCGGAAATTCGTTACTAGTGTGTTCCGTCGACGGTTTCCCCTTGAAATTGTAAACAGTCGGGGGAGAGAGTAAACTGAAAATCGTTTCTTCTCGCAAAGATCGGGCTGCTACGAGTTACAATAATTTAATCACTTCATTTTTGATGATACACCTTCCGGAACAAGAACTTTTCTTATTTGATAAACACACAGTTGAGTCGTTAAATGTGATATGGAGATTATTATTATTATGGATATTATTATACATAATGGTCAAGAAACAACTTCGAACAATCTTTTCATGTTACCCCTCTAACAGTGTATTTACAGACCTTATCCGAGTTTGATCGAAGTGGTTTGTATAAATTCGTCGTAGTTTCTTATCGACTTGGATCTGAGTTTTATAGATTTAATCGAAACAATACATTTTTCTCGGAGTATTACCGAATTTAAACAAACAGGTAGGTTAAGTTTATCCATTTCCTCTGTTTTATCCGCACCCGCAGTGGTTTTTTATCGATTAAGTTCTATAAATTTTAGGTTTACACTTCATACACTGTAACCTCCTTAGACATTGCGAAACTGAACCTTATACTTGTTGGTCCAAACTTGATACTATTCCAAGGCAGTAAGTGTTCCGAGTGTAAACGGTAAACTTACCGAGTACTACCGAGTTAACGAAAATTCACTCCGGGTTTAAATGAAGCGGAGAGGGAATCGAAAACTCAACCTACCTATTAGTCCGAACCTTATAACAGTGATAACGTTCTATGGAAGTTCGAGTTTTAAGTGGAACCTAAAACCTGGGTCTTGTATGATAATGAAACTCCTAAAATTAACTTGGTTACGTTTCAAATAATAATTGTAAACACGCACGCACTGACTCGCGTCGAGTACTCGATCCAAGTCTCTCGTGGTCAATGAAAAATATTGTAACGTGTTTTTACAGGAACGTTCTGCTCGCTGACGTATTGCGACTTGGGCTATTGTGTTTTCGGCGAATGTCTGTTGGCCGGCTCCAACGGTTTCGTGTGCAAATGCCAGTCCGGGTACACGGGCCGTCTTTGTGATGAGAAGATCAAACCGTGTGACATGAACCCGTGTAAGGACCACGGAGAATGCGTGTCGTTAGCCGATTCCGATTTTCAGTGCCGATGTTACGCGTACTGGACAGGTAAGTGTACAATATACAATAAAGTGGCACAGCCGGGATTTTTCAATGCAGGAAGTGGATGCAGTTTACGTTAATTTCCTCAATCATACTCGGGAATTGAGCGTACTTACATAATCAATGAAATATTAATATAAGACCATAAAAACTCATAATAAAGTAACGTAAACATACTCGTATAAAACGAGTATGATGAGAGTTAAAAAAATACAGCCAGTAGGGGGAGGGTGGCATGGTCCCCGTTCTTTTCTTGGCTATGCCGCGGATATAATATTTTAGAAATGGCGTACTAAGTGCCGCCATCGAGCAAAGATGCCGTAAAAAAAATCCGTGTTGGAGTGGATAAACAATTATTTTTTCACCACATTGTCTTCTCTTTAAAAAAAAAAAAAAAAATAAATAAATATTTTCCATACGAAAATTGTGTTACGATAATTTTTCGTACACCTTTTCGTTAAACGCTCCCAAATCATATGCGGAAATAATGTTTTTAACTTTTTCGATAGTTGGAGAAGGGGCATTCGCAATGGTCTTTTCGAGCAAAAAAATTAAAAATGAATCGAACAAATGTGCTAATACACGTGGTTTTAGAACAAAAATATTAAATTAAATTTAGCGCAAGAAGAAAAACTGTCGATTTTTGTTTGAATAAAATTAATTTGAAGAGGCTTAGGCGCCAAACGTCTCTTGCATATTATTTTGATTTTTTTTTTACTCTTAAATATCATACGCGTTAAATTATGCGTTTTTGGTACGAGCAAAATTTACTTTAAACTCTGAGCGTATTTTCTTTCGTTGCTCTAATAAATACAACTTTATTGCACACGTGAACAAATTATTGATTTTTTTTTTTAAAAAGTTATATTGAAACCCGTATGTTTTATTGTTATTTCGGACAGTTTACCTCCGCGAAAAAAATCCAATTTGGCATGCTACGTACTATAATAAAATAGGTAATAATAGGAATGAGACAAAACATAAATGTTCGTTTTCAAAACAAAAAAAAAAAAAGGAACCTTCTGTTTTATCGACACGGGGCACTTGTGCTCGGCGGAGCGGTACACTGGCCGGGCGGCGACTTATGAAAAATATTATATCGGAGACGGGCCGAGAAAAACTTTCCGTCGCGGGAAAAATAAATGCGTTCGTATGTATTTAACTCACGTCGTGTGATTTGTGCGCAGGTACACTGTGCGAGAAGCAAATTGTACGCATCACGTACAAACCGTTAACGGAACGAATGCTCCAAGAACCGTTTTGGTTGGGCCTGCTCACCGTGTTCGTGGTCATGGGCATACTGGGAATAATATGGTGCGCCAAACGTCACGTGCCCGAGAAAATCGAGAAAATATTATCCGAGGAGGCCGAACGCAGCAGACACTGTAAGAAAACGATTCAATTTTGTTTTACTTATCTATCCTTCCTCATTCCCTCTAAATATGGTATACATAAAGCGATCGATTCATCACGAACCGGCGATTTTCTCGAAGTATTTTAAGTGCATTTGATTTCCGGTGTTTTTCAATCGATATATTATACAATTATTTACGCTATATATTAACTTTTTACCTATCTTTCTTCACTGCGTGATTATACTTGAACGGGTACATAACGTATTCCATTTATAAATAGAAACCACCCACTTTTAACACACAGATTCGAACAGAACATATTTGAATTGCTATTGGAAAATCAATAGCGTACACTCGTTTGAAGTACAATAATAATAGCCAAGGGAGCAGTGGGGATACAATTTTAAAATAGTGTTAGAATAAAACTTGAATGATTTAAACATAACGATTGGAAAAAAAATAATAATAAAAAAATAAACAGAAATTGAATTTTCTTTTAAAACCGTTCGAAAAACTCGCTGGTTCGTGACAAATGGATCATTCTATACACAGAGTGATCGACATAATGTACGGTTGCGAATTATATCGGAAAGTTTTAAATATGTTCGATATTTGTTTTTTAAAAATAATCGTATTGTACAAACAACGATATCACGTTACCGTTATCGTGTGTCGCCCTTATTGTTTCGGGGGTGAAACGAGTGTATTTAATTTTAATTTTTAAATAGCAAACAATAATATTAAATAAATCATAGTTATAGACAAGATATTATAGTTCATTACAAAAAATAATAATGCGCGTGAAACATTTTAGAGCTACTTAGATTACTTCCGATTTGTAAAAAACAAATCAATAATTTCCGAGTTAATGAACGATCAGAAGTTATGTCGATCGCCCTGTATATCGCCCAATAATATGCGCGTATGGCGTAGAATTCGGCGGCGGTTCGTCGATTCAAGCCGAAATTATCGTGTTATCGTCGAAATGACCGAATCAAAAGCATAATATTACCATTGGCGTATTGCTAGAATTACGCGCGTTTCGAGTGTCTGAAACCGACCAGAAGTTATTGTATTAGATAATGTCTGAAGTTTGACTTGGGTATATCCACGTCAAACATTTGACCGCGACGTGAACCAGGGGGGGGGGGCTTAAATATTATAATGCCGGCAGTTACCGCGCAATCGCGATGGAACAACATTATCGTCAGGAATCGTTTCGGTGAACCGGAGGAGAAACGCTACGTCCCTCGGCAAACCGTTTACCGAAATAATTATACGGTGATTTGTATGCCCGATACGGTAGAAAATTATTCCGTTTTGGCAAACAGGCGTTTGGACGAGGGCCCGTCGCTCGTTATTCGCAGTAGCCATTATAATATATTATATATACTTGCGGTACAATAAGGGGTTAGGGCGGAAATAGTTCAAAATACCTCCCACCACCAGGCCGAAAAAATTTGAATTATTTATCAACGTCACCTGCACAAACACCACAAACGGAAAACCGTATTAAAATTCAAAGTATCAAAGTATACACGTACCGTACTTGTATACCTACTTATTACTGTAGGGCTCGTAGTTTTTGGCAAAATAAATCGTTTATAAAAAAAACGTTGAAAATAACTAAGAAAAAATAAGTACAACAATATTTTTCTAATGAAATACGATTCTGAAATATGTTTTAAAATGCTGTAATTTTTCGTCAAAATTTAAAATTTAAAAAGCTTATGAAAACTATAACATTAAGTTTAGTTTTTTTCACCATGAAAAAAAAAAAACTTGAAAAATCTCGAATAAAATTTTTGAAAACTAGGTACTGTTCAGTGAAAACAATTTTATTCAAATAATAAAATTAAAATATCTCAAAAATGTCAAATCATTCTAAATATCTAAAAAGAGACTAATATATTTTAGAAATTTCACCACGTCGAAAAAAGGCTAATATAGGTATTAGGAGATAATGTAAGACTTCTGTAATTATTATTTATAAATGAAATACAACAAAAAATTAAAATCGATAGTAATCAAAAGCTGTGATATCCGTTAACTTCCTCCTCTTTTTTTCTATTTTTACCTAGGTTTTCTCGATTATTAAGAAATTAACAAAAAAATCGAGAGTATTCTTAATGTACCAACTAGATCTAAAATTCTATAAAAAAAAAAAGCTCTTTTGTTATTTTTTGATTAGAGCAAGATTTAAGGTTTAATGTTGTTCACAATATTTTAAAGAATGTAAAATTAAAAAAAAAAAAAAGCACACATCATAATAAAACCAATATATTCCTGGCTGTAACCAGAATCTAAAAAAAATACGAAAACTATCCTCCCCCTTCCTCCCGCGTAACCACTACTAGGACGTTTAGCAATTGTAAAGAACTTTGTGCAATAACACGGGTAGTAGTTTTTATTTTTTAATTTTCCAGGAAATATGAATTATACAAATATTTTGCTCATAATAAAATTTATAAAACAAATATTCAGATTTACTTGATTTTATTTTAACCGTTTTCCAAGATGAAAGGTATTTCATATACAACCTATAAAATATTTGAAATTATATTGTTTTCTTTTTTTTTTACTAGAATTTTTTTATTAAAAACTCTATAAAATTTTCTGGTTTTTATTACTAGAACCATCTAGATATTTTTTAACCACATTAGACTTCTCTCATATGGATAATTGGAAACGTTTCGTTATTGCACAGAAAATACGAGAATAAAATTGTATCTATTAGAAATATTAAGGGAACAGTATATTTCACTAAAATGTTGAGCTATCTATTCATGGAGTTATTCAAAGTTTGATGACCAGCGTCATGAAGTAAATCCCGAAAATAACATTGCATTTACCACTCGATTAGACTTAGGATTGGCCACCAATTGACGGTGTAAAACCAAAACTTTCATTTTTCGGCAAAATTTTGTTGAAAAAAGAAGGAAAATACAAATAATCAAATAAATTAAACGCATGTTAAAATATAAATTTGTAACTATATACACGAAAACTTGATTTCACTTCGAATAGTACTCGGTTTGATAATTTTCAAATTTTTCATTATATCGTGTTCGTGTAAGACGTAAGTATACGTAATATTAAAAAATTTCATCTTCCTGACGAAAAATTTGTTTATTTTTTTTTTTTTTTTGTGACACTAAACTCGAGCGATTGTTGATTAAGTTACAGTTAACGCCTCGGGGAGGATGTCGAGCGTGCGGGGCGAACTGCTGGTGCCCACGGTGAGGACAAACGGCGCGACGCCCTCGGAGGGCGGCAATTCACCGCCGCCGCAGCCGCCGAAAACGTTCCTCCGACGACTGGGTATACGAAAACCTTCATTAATGAGCCTCACCAGTCCGTCACAGACGGGCCGAACGGCTCGTACGTTCAGCCTGGACGATTTGCTCAGGCCACAAGTTCCGAGTAAGGTGTCTCCACTCTGTGCCCTAATAACTTCCTGCCAAAAAAAAAAAAAAAAACCTTCGCAACTACCCTTTTTTTCACACCACCGCCGTATTGCACTGCATATTATAATGTACTTTACTTCTACGATGCATTGTGTGTTCTTCTCTGTCTCTGTCGGCACCTCACCTGGACTTGCTCGAACACCGTTGTCAATATTATATATTGTTATTATCATTAGACGTGTTTTGGCGATGCAGTTTTCGGCAGCGTTGTTTCCTGTTGTTTACTATTTAGTTGCGATGTAGCCAAAACATTTTTTTTTTTTTTTACCACACAGTGTATTACCGAAGTTACTGGTGATAACCAGTAACCGCGATGACAGTAAACGTAGTTTTTATATTATTTGATGATTCCCTTCTTAACCTGGTTACGCAAACGGCATTTCAGTAAACAATATCGCCCAAACAGCTTGTTCACTAAACTATAAGTAACCGTGTTGCTCAAAACTACATCTCCAAAACGCGGCTATAACTATCATTATAACTACCATCAAGGCTAGGCAATAATGGGTTAAAAAGTTAAATGTCAAGTTAGTTTTAAATATTAACTTAACATGTTTGTTTGTTTGTGTTTGTTTATTTTTTTTTTTTTAAATATGTACCATTAACTTATTAAAGAACGAGTTAATTTTGAATCACGTCACGTTAAAAGGGTTGGAAACGGTTTTCCAAATTGTTTACAATATTGTATCATTTGAAAATTGTTTTTTACGTTTCAGTGGCACCGCTTTGTCTACTGCCTTATGTCTATTAAAGAGGTAGGGTACAGTCGTTTTACCGACAAATATGACGTTTATTTATTTTGAAAACTAAACTCGTATTAAGGATACAAAGATAAATACATTTTTTTTAAACTGAAATTGGATTACGAGAAGTATGTTTATTTTACTATTGTTTTAAATACATTAACAAATTAATTACTTCCTAACGTCTTAAGGCAATTTAAATTTATTTTATTTTTTTAATTTTAACACAATATTTATACTATTGTATAACTAATAATATGTATTTCCTTTTAACTTTGTTTTTTTTTTTAAAGTAGGGGAGGCTACTGAATCTTTACACTATACTTGAGTATGGATTTATATTCCAGCTCTCGTGTTTGTTACCACCGATTAGTTTTTTTTATCAACAAATCACAAACTCGCTATGCTTAATCATGTTCACTGTGGAAATAACAATTTTTCAACAAATGAAATTAACTCAACTTGGGTTAATTAGTTATTTAAATATTAAAATTAACTTTTAGCTTACCCGAGTAAATAAATGTATATAATGCACTTAACTACGAACGTGTTAACCCAATCAACTTCATTTAACCAAGTTGATATCATTATTCATTAACTTGCCCAGCCTTGCTTGTGTATTATTTATTACTAAATTATTACTATATTAATACCGTTGTATTATATTATTATTATGTCGTTATGTGTGTTTGACAGACGCAATCATTTTTTTCTGTCAAGCCCTATAGGGTTTATTTATTTATAAATCCTAATATTAAATTATAATATAATATGTTGCAAAGTCGAGTGCTATAGGTAAGCTAGTAGGTATTTAATAAACTGTTGAATATTTAATTTATTTCCCCTTTATAAAACCCTACGTAATAAATAATAATCAACTCGTTTTTACAAACAAAGTTTTTTTTCGTGATAATTATTATAACATATGAGAAAACCAAAAAAAAAAAAGGGAAAAATATTATGATTCGGGACAGAAAGATATTATTGCAGCTGTCAGATCACACAGCGATACACTGTACATATTTATACATATTATATACGAGACGAATGTACTAAAACCATTTTATTTTAGTTTTTATTATTTATTCAGTACGTATACGTAACAATAGAGATTATAATTTATATTATAACAGAGATGTAAAAAAAAAAAATACATTTTACCTGCCGGTCGAATTCACTTTTTTTTTTTTCAATTGTATGCGATAAGTAACATTGATTAAACGTAGACACGTAACAGTGATGGCGCAAAATAATTTGATCTGTCGCAATTTCGTTATGTTGGTCTGATTTTCACGAAAACTCAAAATATACATTTTAAACGATCCCTTTGGAAAACCCAAATCAATCAAATGATAAAAAAATCATTTTAAAAACAAACAAAAAAATTATCGGAACAACGAGAAGTTGAATGTGTGGTGGGATACTTGATAAAAGTTGAATTCAAGTATCATCCCTCTGAAGGCAAGAAGTTTTTTTGTGTGGGATTTAGTAGACGAGTAAAATCTATTGAGTTTTACGGGTTATCTATTATATTGATTTCGTGGGTTCATTTGAAGTAAGTAAAAGGGTAATTATAATTGTCATTAATTTTAGTATTTAAAATTAATGACAATTATAATGGTTTTGTACTTTCTTTTGCTGAACAATTGTAATTTAAATTTATAATATCAAAAATTAGTCCAGAGAAATGTTCCATTTTGTCCTTCGTTTGTTTCTGTGTACTTTTATTGTACAATTACAACGCATCGTTATCGTCTTTTAACCGTTAGAATTCATTTGTTGTTTGAATCGGTCGTCCAGCTACTCGAGGAAAATGTATTTTAACATCAAATGCTTCAGCAATTTCTTTTGGTTTTGTAATTATTACGGAAAATTCAGTCTATGTAATGTTGAATCTATTTGATAATAAATACTCAATTGTATTCTCTCTTTCGAGTTTAAACAATTTTGTGACGCATTAATTGCGTTTTTATGACAAAGTCTAATTTCATGAGTTTATGAAACCACGTTCAATTTTAGATATTTTATGCATGGAGAAACAGTGAATTACACAACACGCTACAGTTAATAATGTAGACGTGTACTCGACTTGTACAAAAATACTGCATAATACTACAGATATTATCTGTAATCTTGTTTTCAGTGGCGTACCGATAGTATGGCATGATGGGCAACAAGCCACGGGCCCGTGAAATTGGCTCCAAATTAGGGCCCGAGGCATTATTACTAGAGGGCAGACATTTTTGTTTTTTTTTTTACTCCGAACTGAATAAATAAGGTGTATGAACTCGGGTTGTGCACTTGGCTAGCGCTAAAAAATATCGATGGGGAAGGGGTTATACACACACAAATTTTACGAATCTTCAATATTTTTGCGCTAAAATTCAGCATACAATTTTGCTTGCAGTAGTGGCGGTTTTGGTTTTGGGGCGCTGCTGTAGCACTCTCTATGAGGTGAGATATTTTCCCACGGGCATTGAATGTTCTAATAACGCAACTGCTACTTTTCAATTGTAGTGATCAATAACGATATCTTCCGTTATAAAATCACCAGGGTTATACTTCATGTTGGTAAAATTAATTTAACTCGCCAAAAACGGTAGGCATAAACAATAATCGTCTAAACGGACCATTTATTTTTTGGTGAAAAAACGACCAAACGACCATCGTTTAAATTTGCATCTCTGTTTAATAATTTATTTTATATGTTATAAAAGGTGTATTTAGACGAAATTGAAAAACGTCGATTGTCATATTTTTTTTTTTTTTTTTTTTTGTAATACATAAGACTATAATAGATAGACTCTATTTTTATGGTATTTTTAAAATGTTAATTATTTTCAAAAACTGCTTAAATTCAAATGCATTGAAACTATAATTTTAAATTTTTTTCGAAAATGTTCATGAAGCACGAATTTAATAATAAATTACAATCCAAGTGTTTAAACACTGTTGCTAACGTTAGAAAATTGTTCAAAAATTTGACTGACATAAAATATTATTGGGTAGCTTGGATTTAAGAGAATCTTCAAAATTTTTAACGGCTAATTGAAGTTTTTAAATACTCAACGGACGTATTATGTTTAGAAAATATTATAATAACGCCCCGTTAATCAATTGAAAAATTATTAAATATTAGAAAGGGACATAGTAACACGCCCATTAACGTACTTAAGGATTTGTGTATAGACAATGTTCTCGACATATTTAGAGAAATAAAATTATATCAATTAAAACACATTCAAATTCACTTTAAAATACATTTATAAGTATTCCAGAAAAACCATTTTGTATGGTCAAAAACTATTCGAACGACTTGGTTTAGAAACCAAATTTTCACCACAGAAAAAAAGAGAACCTGAACTGTGCATCGTTGATTTAGTTTTTCGATAACTATGAAAATATTTATTAGATTTTTAAAAACCATTAAAACTATCGGACTTCAGAACAGTTAAAATATTTTTTTCGATTTTTAGTATCAAATAACTAAAATCCAAGATACACAAGGCAAGTTTTCTTATTTGCTATGGTGAAATCTTCGTTTCTCAATTAATTCTATTTTCCGAGTACTTTTTGTTCGTGTTAAATATTTTTACAGTCGAATTGCGAAAAGAAATTTTCTACTTAAAATGTCATAAAAAAAAAAGAACACGTGACTATAATCGAATTTAGATTTCCCAATTCACCTGAATACACCATATGTACATAATAATATACACGTTATAATTAACTATTATACTTTAGCTTGTATATATTTCAACTTACTGTTGATCATAGCACGTTCTTCATTATTTTACTATTATTACAATAGAATAATATAAATAATAATATGACGTATCTCATGTTGTCACGTTAATGTTGGAAATTCCGTCAACGTGTCGACTTGCCTAGTCAATACTCATTAGCTATAGATTATGTACTAGTGTTTTGGCTCGTAATAACAAGTATTAGTTAATTTATTTACCTCACGTATAAAATTATAATTACAAAGGTGGGACTCTCAGTGGCGTAGCCCATAGGGGAATATTTAAAGACCCTATATGTGTCTTTCTTATTTATGCGTACTGTATGCCTATACTATTTTCCGATTTGACCGTTAGCTACGTTACCAGCTATTTCTTCCGCTTTTTAAAGAACATTTTATGCACTGGACCGTGTTGAAACGTGTTTCAAAGGAGATGCGCACTATGTCAGAAAATACACTCAATAGGATAGCCATGGCTGAGATAAATAAATATAAAAAAAAAGACATTAATGAAAACGATAAAATTACTGCCTTTGTTCAAAATTATCCTAAACGGATACAGCTCACAGACGGGTGTAGTATAGATATTAGTATAGTTACAAGATATATTTCAAGACTCTACACATATTGTATATTTCCATTCCATTATTAAGTGTTTTTTTTTTTTTTTTATTAATGTTTGTTTAAAGTATTACATTTTAATGAAAACACTTCTCTTCGTATTCAAACCTCCCTTATTAGGCAGTTTAAGCCCTCCAATTCATAATCCTGACTGTTTAACTGACGATTTTTAAATCTGATCACTTTTTTTTTTTTTTATTTTGCTTATGATGCCTATTGTTAAACCTTTGTCATTAAAGGGAGGAAAGGAGTACAAACGAAGATGATAAAATGTACAAAAAATATACAATATATTAGGTATGGCATTGACATGATGGTACTTATTCCAAATTTAGTTTGAATAACTATTTCAATATATCTTTATTTAAATTCTATTTTTTTAGTTGTCAATACATTGATACATTATGAGAAATACTATTTTTGTGTTTATCTTTGTTTAATTTATTCAAATATTATTCAATTCATCTTGTAACTATTCGAGGTTACAAATACTAAGCCTTTCAGCTATTAGTAAAGTTTCAAAAATAATTCGATTTCAGAAATAAACAGTTTATTAACTTTAATGAATACCATGCCATTTTTTAAGGAAAATCTACTGCGTGTTCACTTCCCTTCCCTTAAGAAAACTCTAAGAGCTGATTAATTTTTTTCAGTTTCTCCACCCCTCCATTAAGAGTATTTTGCATGTAGAATATAATATTTGTAACAAAATCTACTAATATCAATTATAATCGTAAATGCGAGAGTATTATTAAACATACGTATATGACTAATACGTTGACATGTTAAAAAAGTTTATTATATGAAATTTAAAAACGGTTTACAGAGTAACGGATTTCATACATTAACGTCGACGTATATAATTATATTATTACAATCAAAATGCTTTTATATACGAAAGCTGTTAACGAACTTTGACTGTTTCGATTTCAGGATTCAGTCATAATCGCGCAAAACAGAAAAGCGTTTCACCGTCGAAATTCCGAACGTCCATAGCTGACAAATCGGAAATACTCCAACAGCTCATATCACCCGGACTCGAACGTCAGGCAAGTTTCAACGACGAAATTAATTTAGTGGAAAAATTATCTACGAATAATATCGGGCCCAACGACATTTTACTGCCGCAGTCAAACGTTTCCCAAGAGACAAGTTTTTCTAACGACTGTTCAATAGGTATACACGTACACAGACAATTTTTAGCGTATAATTTATTTAGAAAAATAATTAATTTAATTCTAATTTGAAATCCAGACGAAGCGGTGCAAAAAATCGAAAAGAAAGTCACGTTTGCTAGACTGATGAACAAATTGCAATCGGAAATCAGCTCTACGAGCTCTGAGTTAGATCCTCAATCCAAACGACTTTTGAGAAGACCGTGTCCTAATCAAGCCAGCGATTCAATGTCTAGCCTGGAATGCGTATTAGGTATATAGTGTTAATAAAATTAGATTTAAAAAAAATATAAGTATAATGTACAAGTTTATTACAAGCACTCGGACTGTATAATAACATAATGAAGCTATTGTAATTTCGTTCCAAACAGTTTTCATTTGTCTACACTGTCTAATTATACAACAATCATAATAAAATGTTCCGGAGATTATAAAAATCTCATGAGAACAAAAATACTTTTTAATGTATATTTCGCATTTAATTATTATATTTTTTTTTTTTTACATACAAAGTCTTATGGTTTTAAATTTGAAATGTAGAAAACCGAAAGCCGAATCAATTGTCACTGAACCAATACCAGCAACAAGCGGGCCAAAAAGCCATGAGTGCTGATTCGATTTTGGCTATGTTCCGGAATTTCAACGCGACAATGGCCATGTCGGAGATGGGCAACTACCTGTCAGCGTCTACGACGCCCAGCTGCTCCAGTCTACAAGACGAAGTAGTGGGAAGTGACGATGAATCGTTTGTGTCTAGTACCGTTCATTCGCCTGGTGGTGGCAGTAAAGAATCGCCCACGCGGTACCGTTACTCCAACGTGATCCAAGTAAGGCATTCTACGTCGCCAAGTTCAGAAATACAATAATAATGAAACAATATAAATACAAAATATGTTTTAAACCATTATCCATCTACTTAGTTACCCGTTGTAGACATGTTGAGCTCGCAACGGAACAACTCGAACAACCCACTGAACAGCCTTCAACATCCACCGTCCATACTTCTTGAAGTGCCCAACTACCGGATGGACTGTCTGTCACCAATACACGAACTCCCAACTCCTGCACCGTCACCGTCACCAACGCCGATCATATCGAGACGGTCGGCGTTCAGTTGCCTGAAAGACATGGACAACGACGATCACCAACAGCAACAACCCGGGCAGTTGCAGCAACATCAGCCGCAAAAACAACAACAACAGGTTTGGACGATTATTATTGTTTTTTTTTTTCACGAAGAACATTACCTAAAATCGTTTCCCCCATCAAGGTGGTATCGCTAAACGTGCCGACGGAACTGCCCGCAGCTACGGTGGCTGAACGAGCAAAACAACTGACCATACCCATGTTGGTCATACAACAGCCGACACCTATTAACTCGCCCAGTGTCGAGTATCCCGGGTCGCCGCCTCCGCACAAGGAGAAACCATCCAGCCGAAAGATGCTGAAAGACATGGAGAAACCGATATCCCTGGACCTGCCAGCCCCGCCACCAGTCATCACGGTGACGTGCATGAGCGATTCGGACACGGAATCGGTAACCACAAAAAACGGTACGGACTCGTCAAAAAACGGCGGAGGCATGTGTTACCTTAGTCCGTTTTCTATGTGTTCCCGGGCCGACAGGATAGCCTCGGAGTCCAACCTCAGCTCTTCCGGGTACAGTTCAGGCCCGTCCCGGTGCAATTCCAACACTCGTCTGTGCCCGTTGGACTGTGGTGAAGAGCCGACGAGGCCCCGGCTATCACCACTGATCCACACACCCCAGATCAGGGAGCCAAGCGCGATGGACTCGGAGACGACGTTTTCCGAGAACGACGACGAAGGTTTCGACACGGAGACCACGGACCACACCGCTGGGCTGCCATTGGAGAGGGATGACTGTAAGACTTCGGGGGGTATTATGTGGGGGAAACACTACCGGGGCATCGGTGGTTCTGGGGGATGTTCTGAACTAGAAACTGAATCGCCAAAGTCTTTATTGGCTGGTGGCGTGGAAGCGGACTCAATGCACAACCGTCACCATTCGCAGCAGCAGCCACTACCTTCGATCACGGTTCAACAGTATCCGTCTACATTGCACCTGTCTACGGATATGCTGCAAGAAAAGAGTCCGGTGAGCTCGAGGAGTGAGAGCCCTTTGAGCGACAAGACGGTTTTCAGGTTCTCGCCAATGTTTTACGGGCGTATTACTGACTCGGATAGTATATACGACTTTACCAGCTCGGATTGCGCGGCTATCAAGAAACGGACGGGCAAAAAAAGAGAACGGAAAAAGAGACACCCTGCAGTCGGCGGTGGCAGTTCATTGCCTTGTGCTACTACCTCATTGGAAATGACGAATTATGTTAGCGGTGGCGGCGTCAACAACAGCAACTTCCTCCTGTTGGACGTACCCGGCAGGAATGATAAAAAAAAACCCCGGTCCAAACCTAACACGAGGAGACGATCCCGATCACAACAGACAATCCTGCCGAGTTCGTCGTCGTCCACCGACAGTCTAAATGATTGCACTAAGTAAGTAGTAAATCATCATTTATTTGGCTGTTTTTTTTCCCGCTTTAATCATAAAATATTAACATGGTTGTCCACAGGACTAGATATAGTAACCGGCACAAACGTTCCAACGATTCGGTACAGAAAAAATACGTTTCCCAGGAAACTTGGTCAGATCGTGCCAAGAGCGGTATGGAAGACCAAAAACCCGGAAAGAAGAAATCCAAATCGAATCACACCGAAAACAGAAGACGTTTAAAGTAAGTTCAGCCCGAATTAAAACCACGGGAGGTTGGTAATATTATACAATACCTAACAGACTTAAAAATACATTTAGATCCAAAAGTCTGGATAGCATATAAAATACATCTCTTCTATAGATTAGTCCCATAGTTTAATATTGTTAACGGTATGAACTCGACAGGTTTCAAAACAAGACAGTAAGCGATCAAGGGCTTTGGGATGGATCAGAAAACGAATATGATGCGCCAAACTTTGCGTCTTTGCCGACTCTGCAGGTCATTGGAAATGGCAGAAGTCCCGGGAATCCTGAGGTGACGGCTGCTATCAGGAAAAAGGACAAATCCATTGCGCTGGCTAAGTCTTCGAATGGATTTCGAAAGAGGGTCACGGCTTCCGATTGATAACTATTACGAGTACATTGACCCTCACTAGACTTCTACAGCATAATAATATATTTTATTACACCCAGTCTGTATTATTTTAGCTCTATTGGAATCTAAACTCAACTGTATAGATAGCGCTGACGTTGTTTATCGTAAGACGGTACTCTAATACTTGTTTACATCATAATATTATGTTATGTGTTTTATTGTTTTAAATATTCGTTCGTACTTCGTTGTCGGAAAGAACGCGCTAGTGTACATCCACGGTACGCGTATAAAAAAACGTACATTGTCTCGGCACTACGTATTGTTAAATAAGTAATTTTTTCGATAATGTCTATTAGTTATCTAATTTTTATGGGACATAGGGGGCTAACGCTTTGTTTCCCAATCAAAAGTTTAGACAACTGTATTAGACATACAAATCTAACTTTTTCGTTAAAATTGTTTTAAATTTTATTTTTCGTTTTTTTTCTGTTACCTACCAGACGTGTTTTCCTTAAAAAATCGGGGTTTATTTCCGATTAAAATTTCGACATGAGCTCGTATTCAAGTTGGCGAACAAAGCGAGTCGTATCAAATTTATGAGTATATGAAATACGGAATAAAAACGATGCGAAAATCGTGACACGAATATCGTGTTCCTCGCAGCATATTATCATTATTAAAAAGGTTGGATATAACCCGGTCTTAATTGGCCAATAATGATATTGGCTTATTTTACACGTAGTGCTGATATCACGTGCGTTTTGTTAATATGCGCAATGTGCCATAACATTACAATAATTATATACAATCTGGATACCATAGTTCAAGGAGCCCTGTCTGCAAACAGTACTCCGTCAATTGGTAATAATCAAAATTTTCATACTCGCTCAGTGTCACAACTTTTAATAAATAAAGCCTTCATTTATAATTCCGAATTCGTAAATTTTTCTCATCGGAGTTTTTTTTTTTTTTTAAATTACTCTTGGCTAAAATATATCATGTACACGTGGCCTACTTTTGACGAGTGGTTTCTATCCATAATACGGTTTGATTTCTAACACCGAAATCCTAACTTTACTCCAAAGCTAACTGAGTAGCAGTAATTAATATTACAAGTAATGTAAATTCTCTATTTATCTAATTTGGAAAAAAACCAGTTGGTAATAGCTCAATGCCAAGAAGATTTCTGCTCGGTGGTTATCAATTGTCGAAGAACTGTACTCCCTTCTCAATGGACCCCTTGTTTTGGTACAATGACTGGTTTGTACGAGTTTCGGTTCCAATTCAGATCCCGAAAATAAATATAAGAAGAACAAAAAATTGTCGTTAAATCGCGTGCCGTCCATCCACCGGATAATTGCCGTATTATTTATTGCAATATTATGTAACTATCGCGGGAAGCTTTTACGAAATTCACTCGGAGTCCGGTCGCGTGTTATCATACTATACAATGCTACGCGACTAGCTGTTTTCTGATTGGTTTATTCGTATTAGCTATCGATATTATTTTGGTTGTCGACACATTATTTGTCGCCGTTTATTACGTCGTAATCAATCGTCAAATGATGCACGACCTATTAAACGGCTGTGAAAACATGTTAATAAGCAAAAAACAAAATAAAAATAGCGGTAAATTCGAATCGACCAATCAAATAGCAATGTACCTACAGTATGTCAATGTACCATTCGGTCGTGTATTTCGCAAATACTGGTGGATACATAACTGTCAAAACATTTGCAAAACGCGTTGCTCGATTACGGAAAAGCGTTCAAGCTGTCCGTTCGATTATTAATGTCGCGTGATTGTAAAAGTGGACCAATAAACAGAGACCGTGACGTCTCTCGACCGTGAAACCGCGTTCATCACGTCAACATTGTAAAAATAGACCGTTTTATCGTTGACCACCAAATTAGAAAAAAAAACATTCTCTTGACCTAAACTCCCGGCGATCCGCAATCTTCTGGAATTTTTTCCGTTACAATTTTCGCGAAAAATACATTCGTTTGATGTTTGATATTCAATACGAATTTCGGAAAATCGATGTTTTGTGAACGAAAACCCGAAAAAGAAAAAAAAAATATTGATATTCTCATTTGTCTAAACGACAAGTATAATGTAAATAATAATGTCCGGGGCTTATAAGCTGACCTCGTGAATTAGCCAAAGTTCGTTAGCCTCGTATTATATAGACGGACGGAAAACGGAATGTCGTCTTTTTTCGAATTTCGCGAAATGGGGAGCACAACCTCTGACCCCCTCCCATAAAGTGATTAAAACGAAACCGTAGCAATAATAATTATAATGAAAATAAATATAAAAACAACAAATGCGTTGTTACGTTCTCGTAACATTACGTGGTACGATAGAAGAGAGACTAAATAACAAAACGCCTTACTTTTTTTTCTATCGCTTTTAATTAGTAAAATCTGTGATATTTTTTTAACCGTTAAGTCTCACCGTTGTTTTGTCATTATGGGCCCAATTGTTTTCAATTATATTGTCGTAATATTAATGATAATATTATTATTATTATTATTGTTATTATGTATGGGTACTATTATATTATTATATACTTATTATACCGTGCCTATAATACTATACAATACTGGAGTGCCTCAATGATGACCATTATTAAACTCGTGTAAAACTATTTTATTATTATTATTATTATTATTATAATTATAATTATATTATTAAATCGTTGATCCCTGGGAAGAAGTCGGGTAGTGTGTAGTTTTCAACACAAGCAAATTAAATGTTGAAAATCAATAAATGTCATAATGGTTTCCAGACATTAAACAGCCTAACCTAAATATGATTCCATTCTGAACGGATCGAGTCATATACTTAATTATTATATTATGACTTTTGTATTTATGCTGAACGAAAAGTCCGTCATCATATTGACTTAGACATTTCAATTGTCGGTATAAAATGTGTTAGAATATCCATACACGTGTGTAATTTAGACCGAAAAATAAAGGAATATTTTACGTGGCACCAAATTATAATTTTTTTTTTTTTTTTTTTAAATGCCAACAATTGACTTAAACCCTTCTTCCCAGGGACCAAAAGAATATATTTAGGTTAGAAATTCTTGCTCATTCACTCGACTGTTATTTAGAAAAATCACGCTTTACTTTTTGTAACGATTCCTATAATTAATAAAAATTACTATAATATTATACTTGTAAGTTGTATTTTAAATAATATTATTATTGTTTAGATCGAGTAAGATTTACAAAAAGCATTTTATTTATTCTTATAATTACTATAATATGTATTCATTGTACGATATTATTATTAATATTATTTTAATAATTAAAAAAAAAAATGTATCGATTATCGTCGCGTAGCCCGTAATAATTATACTATTCCTATTAATTAATAATCGGTTCAACATGACTTTTTCTCAATAATATTCTTCATTTTTGCTCTATTTTAATATTACTATAATATTACATTTAATTTATTATTTTAAGCATTCTATATTTTGTCTACTAAAAAAAAAAAAAAAAAAATTGAATAAAAACGATTTCTATTTTCAATTATATTTATTCCAGAATCGCGTTTTTATTCCGTCAACAACACAAACAATGATAGCTGTATAGCCTATAATAGAAAAAAAATAGCTGCAACTGGGGATAGGAGCGACCAATGTTGTAGGTGACATGTTGGGAAGGTAGGATGCATAAGGTTATTTCATTTACATCTGTAACGATAAACCTTTGCTTGACGAAAGACGAATCCAAGCGCAGTTCGGTAACGCATAATTTGAAGTGCCGTAATCTGTTTTGCGATTTTCTTTTGAATTTGATTTTAAAACGCTTATAAAAAAAAAAATGTCGTTCGATGATCTTGAAAATTTTACCACATCCAAGTAAGTTCAATAAAAGTATTATTACCAAGTTTCACACTCTACGTGTGTTTATAATCGAATAACAGCAAAAAAAACTCCCAAAAATTAAAATTCCTTAAAAGCACAAAAGTTTTAAGTCTAAAATATACAATAATTTCTAATAGGAGCGCACAGTGGAATACATTAAAATCTAGCTGGCCAAAAATAATTTACAAGTTGAATATAAAAAATGACGACTTCCGACTTGGTTATTAATTAACTTTCTAGCGAATATAAAAGGGGTTTTGCTTGGTTCCCCCACAAAAAAAATCAGCCAAGCACCCCAAATAAAAATTTCCGTGTAATAATATATAAGTACGCATAAGTTACTTATAATCAATATTGTAGCAGGGCTCAAACCCGATAATAATTTGGTACTATAACATTTATTTAAAACATATCATTAGTTATTTATACCACAGACAAATGCAAATAACTTATACAACCATTAAGTATATTAAGTTACTTTTTAAAAACAACTTAGCCAACACCGTAAACAATACATAATAAAACAAAAATTAAATCTCACTTAAATATGTTTTAAACAATTAAGGAATACTTTGCCTAACCTCAGGGCGTTTCCAGCGGCGGTTGTTTAGAGAATAACATTTAGGCAATTTTCAATCTCGTCTTTTCAACCAATGATCTTTGCGCTAGTCGCAAACGATCATTACTCATAAGCGCTAGTGCGGTTCAATGCGTGTACTACCCATAGACCGTTTACTAATATTACTAGACTTAGATAGACTATTATAGACTCCTACAGAATGGTATTAGTATAAGGTCTATCAATGGTACTACAGTACAATAGATATAATCCATAGACTAATAGACAAGAAATGATTACACACTGACCATAAAAGCATGACATTCGGAATAATATTCCCTATTGTTTTTAGAAATTCATTAACACCATAATAGTGTAATATTAATAATAATAGTTAGTATAATAACTAAACTGTACGGAAATCCTCATACAATGGCCAAATAGCCTTACCTGCCGTATCAAAATATACGGTAATTATAGATCAACGTGTATACTAATACTTATATAATATTTCATGGGTATTTCTTCCGGTGGATTAATTTCATTTATGTTAGTAGACCTTATGGTGGTAGAGCAACTGACAA